GCATACAACAGTTTTTTGACATCTGATAATCTGAATAGAGCTTTTGCAGAAGAATGATATAAATGGCATCTGCATTGACAAAGTGTAGGCTTTGAAATGAAAAAAACATAACATCCAATTTGGTATACTTAATTATATACATTATTTACAAACAGTGTCAGTGACAATGTCCAGGTTTTGTTGCAACATGTGAATTTTATAAGACACAGAAAAATTAGCATAATGTTGAGGTTAAATTAACAGGCCAAATCAATCAATCACAATTGTAATTATACTGCCAAGTCAAGAAAGGAGATAAAGAAGAAAACCACAACTTATACACTGACATCAAGCATTTTGTTTTAATCCATGATTTATGTGGTTTTTTGCACGTTGCATAAACAATTACCAATTAAAAAAACTGCTCCTAAATGTAGCACAAGACACAACGCTGCAATGGCAATAGTATCTCCATAATGCACAGCACAGCCTCAAGATGTATTTTGACAAGCAATTCAATTTGTACAGGAGTTATTACGGTAATGAGAGGGCTCAACGATGTATTAATCTTAGCGTAATTTCTTGTAACAGGTTTAATTTATAACACATTGACATGTCCGCCAAGATTTTGGTCCAGATTTTGAATTTGACTCTAACAGATTTTAGCATGTTCACTTACGATTATTAATTTTCATAGAATGACTGATTAAGATTTGACATTTTGGATATATGTAAATGAAAAAATGACTATGACATCAATCAATCTGGTGATGTGGCCATTCATTTATTTGTTTCTTCACTCATTTTGGATTTTGTACATGTATATCTGGACAGAAGATGAGTATGTGATGATGATATGATGATAATAACAAGGAAAATGATGATGTGGATAAGAATGATATTATAATTTGGAAAGTGTTAAATATTTCCTTTACCCTTCTCCAGTTCCATTCTCTGCTCCCTTATCTTTTTTCTTTTTGGCTTTCTTCTTTTTCTTCGTTTTATCTTTCTGAATTGTTTCAGTAATTGGAATATTTGAAATGTCGCACTCTTCAAATTCTATAGATGCTGTAATCAGGATTAAATAAATGATTAATAGAATTATTAATTAATTGTATAAATGATGAGGTAACAATAAATTAGGATGGGTTAATAACAGCTGCAGCATCTGAATTTACTCATGACTCTGATGCAGCACAGCTAGCCACATTTAAGTTAGACTTGCATTTGCGTCATGACAACAAAGATAGGACTTTAGTTATAGGCTACGTTCAGATCTGAGAGATACGGCAGGCGTATCTAACGCTGGGCGAACTAAATTCATGGCGTAAGTAGCGAGATGTCCAGACTGTGATTAACAAACGCTAGCGTAAACATTCACGCGAAATATTTGTATATTCGTAAACTCGCATGTTATTTCCTGTTTACATCTAGGCTTATTGTGATTGGACAAATCCTGGCTGAGTTCAAAATCATTGATGCATGACTATCGTAACTCAGTGGCATACGGTAATTTGGGGTATCGTACGCCAGTGATTCTGGGTTAATACTGGCATTCGCTATGCCACGCACAAGTTGACACCACTTGTTGAGACCACAAGCTGAGACCATGTTACGCTTGCGTAACGCATGTCTAAACATAGCCATAATCTCGTTGTGCTCCCAAAACTCAAACTTTTGTATTAATAGTAAAACAATCTACTTACGTAGCTTATCTCTTCCTGTGCCTTTTGATTTAACATATACTTCAATCAATTTCTGTTCCGTCATGTCTTCACACTCCTGGGAAAACTCCTGTTGGATCTGTATCAGACAAACAAATGAGAACTTACCGTGGGATAGCTTGCTTTTATTTCCCTCTTTATCTTTTTCTCCCTCTCTGTCCTTTTCACTCTGTTGTTAATACCCTGATCAACTTCATCATCACTGTTAATAAAATTAATATAACAATCTACCTCACCATCATTTCTACCTCCATAACTAACACCATCATCTTCAACACCACTACCACAACTGCCATCACTACAATTACTAACAGCATTATCATCAATAACAACACTATTACCACAACTACCTTCAAAATTATTATCACCATGATTACCATTATCGTTAACAACATCAACATCACCACCTCTACCATGACCACTGGACACCACCGCACTAATATCACTGGCACAACATCATTATCATCACCACTACCAACACTGGCATCATCAACGAGGTCTTCACACCTATCATCACTACCACTGGTACCATTAACATCATTATCACCACAACCACTATCAACACTGGCATCATAAATATGCCCATGACAACTACCATCATCACCACCAACACCAATTCAATATTACAAACCTGTCCCAAGGAGAAGTGACATTCCTGAACTGAACTACTGTATG